CTGGGCTTTCAGTGGGCTGGCTTACTAAGACCTAGTGAATGCCCAAAGGCTGCCCCAGGGAAAGGTGAGCAATGAGGAGTGTCATAGAAGGATAGCCTAATAAATGTGAGATAATGAGACAAAATGTGAAAAGTTTACTCTTTTGTATTTGAAAATGTGTTTTAAATAGCTCAAAAAAGGGTGTTTGTGCTAAGGAGTAGTTTTAGAGGATGTGAGAGCTGACTTGTATAAACACATATAATAACCACTGCTTTGTTGCAAAGTATCACAGATTCAAACTCACTTAAAGAGCCCAGCAGCAGAGGCTCTCCTCAGAGAGTCTCCCTTCCAGGCTTCCTCCAAGACTGAGGAGATGAAATGTCCCCCTTCTTGATAGATTCCATCTATTACCCTGACCTTGGAGAGAGAGAGGCTTTTTCTCCTTTAAATATAGCTCAATTTACACTAATTTTATAAAAGGTTAATAGACTGGCAAAGTCAGAAAGTAAGGCACTTGGAGTTATCTTGTGGGCAAAATCTTCTACTAAAGCTGGGGGTCACCCTAACTTAATTAAAATATTTCTAATTAAAGAAAATACTCAGCTTTAGAAAATACCACCTGAAACAACACAAGCAGACTTCCATTGCCCATCACTGGAAGAGAAAGTGAATAGAAAAGACCGACTAATTAGCTCTTGAAACTTCCTGAAGAATAGCAATGCCATTATTTATGAAGTCAATACCAACAATTCTTTATCATCTGTGATACGACAGGGGTCACATGGCAACTTGGGCATCATAGCATGGATTACTGAAATCCAAAGTTTCACTCCAGCCATTCATTCCAATCTTTTCCTATCAGACCTTTTAGCAGACGTGGTAAGAAGAGAAGGGGAAGAGAAATAAGCCTTTATATAGGACCTACTGTGTGCCAGGCACCATGCTAAGTGCTTTTTCATGTATCTCATTTGATTCTCACAACAACCCTAGGAGATAGGTGCTATTATTATCCTCATTTTACAACTGAGGAAACTGAGGCAAACTGAGGTTAAGTGACTTGCTCAGGTCACACAACTAGTAAGTGTCTGAGGCTGGATTTGAATTCAGGTCTTCCTAACTCTAAGCCCAGTGCCCTATCCACCATGACACCTAACTGCTAATTGTTAATGTATACATAAGTAAAAAAATCACACAAATAGGAAATCTGACTGATTTGAGTTTCATCATCTTTTTCCTTTCCCACTCATGCTCTTGCTGGAAGTTCTGAGGGGCAGTGATATGGTTAATAATTCAGTCAGCAAGAAAAGAATTGAGGGGCCTAGTAAATCCATATAAATTAGATAACCACCCCTGAAGATCAGTCATTGGCTGAATGACAAGTAGATGCTATAACCTTAAAGTCAACTGTCAGTGATCTTTGAAAGATCACGGAAAATGAGAGAGGTGCCATAGGACTAAAGAAAGGCAAATGTCATGATTTTCAAAAAAAAAAAAAAAAAGGTAAAGAGAATGGAATCTTCAGTAAGAATGAGTTCAATTTTGGGCAAAATTCTAGAACACATTAAAGGGATGGTTAGTGAACATCTTGAAAAGGAAGCAGGGGTCACAAGGAACCAATAGACCTTTACAAAAAAAATAAGTCCTAATAGATTAATTTCATTTTCTTTTTTGACAGAATTGAGAGAATGGTCGATCAGAGGAATGTTATAGATATCATTTAATTAGATGATCATTTAGCAAAGCATTTGAAAAAGTCGTGTTATTCTTAGGGACCAGATGGGGAAAGGAAGTAAACGAGCATTTATTAAGTGCTTACTATTTGCCACTTTACACATTTTATATGGCGAGAGGAGGGATAGATGACAGTACAATTAGATGGATTTCTAACTGAATGAATGACCAGACCCAAAGAATAGTCATTAATGGTTTCATGTCATCTTGAATGGAGGTTTAGAGTTTAGAGGGAATCTGTGCTTGGCCTTGTGCAGTTTAACAATTTTATCTTTGATAAATAGATGGGTGGCGTGTTTATCACATTCACAGATGATACAAATCAAGGAAGAATAGCTAACATGTGGGGTGAGGGAATCAGGCTATAAAAAGATCTTGATAAGCTAAAATGCTGGACCAAATGGGATAAGATGAAATGTGATAGTAATCATTATAAAGGCTGTAGGGGTTAAAAATATCACCTTACAAATACAAAATGGGGAAGGTATGGGAAGACCGAATGTCATTTGAAAAAAATTTGGGGTTTAGTGAATTATAATATTGGCACTTCTGTATTAAAGAAGGGCAAATGTCCTTTATCTTATAAAGAAGCAAAAAGAAGGGAAGAAAGCAAAGAGAGCTGGGCTTGGAGTCAAGAACCCTTGAGTTCTGGTCCTGCCTCTTATGCTTACTAGTTGTGTGGCCAAAACCCTCTGAACCTCAGTTCCTCATCTGTAAAATGGGGATAACACTACATGAAATATCTACTTCATAGTGTTGTACTGAGAATCAAATGAGACCACATCTGTGAAACTGCCTTAGAAACCTTAAAACATTATATAAATTTCAGCTATTATTAAATGAGTCAGCATGGCATAACATGGCAGCCAAAAAGCTGGCAAGATCTTAGGCTGCATTAAAGCAAGCAAAGTTTCCAGGATTAGGGATGTGATCAATCCCATAGTGCTCCGGTCCAGACTGAGCACATTTGAGGCAACCTATTCAGTTCTGGGCATCATGTTTTAAGAAGGGCATTGATAAACTAGAGAGAGTTCAGAATAGGGTGATCTGGAGAGTGAAGTGAAGATTTAGAAGAAATATGAGAGCTGTTTTCAAACATTCAAAGGGCTGTCCTCTGGAAGAGGGATGACACTTGTTCTGCTTGGCCCCAGGGGGTATAAATTGGCACAAAGGATACAAGTAATAATTCCTGTGTGACCTTAGGTAAGTTGCTTAAGTCTCTGGGACTCTAAGGTCCCTTCTAGCTCTAAGGTCATCTATGATTGTAAAGGTCAGTGAGGTTGCAGATCAAGCAAAGGCCATCTGATTTGGTAAATAAGAGGTTATTGGTGAGTGTGTAGAGAGCAATGTCAATAGAACATGACCATTTAGTATATTTTTCTTTTAGACCTGTCTTCTGTTTCTGGAAATGGGAATCAGTGGAAGAATTAATTACCTTGTTGAATTTATTCTGTTCTGCAAATGGAAATAAATAAATAATAATTAGCATTTACATAACATTTGAAGGTTTGAAAAGAGCTTTATAAATATCTAACTTGATCCTCACAACAACTTTGGGAGGTAGGTGCTATTATTCCCATTTTATAGATGAGAGAACTGAGGAAGACTGAGGTAAAGTGACTCTCTCAGGGTCACACAGCTAGTAAGTAGCTGAGGCAGGATTTGATTTCAAGTCTTCCTGATTCCAGGACTAGTACTCCATCCACTGTGCCACTTTAGGTGCTGGCTGCTAATGCATATTCAGTAAAAATCACACAAATTTGGACAAATTGAGAAGATGGCCAATCTGAATTAGTTAGAATTATGACATATACAGAATTTCTTAGATCTATTATGTTTTAACAGGTTCAAGTACACAGAAACCATTGCCTGTTAGAGATTCTGGCTCAGCAAAGAGATAAGAAAGATGATATGAACATGAACACATCAAAGATACTAGCCTAAACACTGCTGGTTCATAATTTTGCTTAGAAATGGTTTTCATAATGCAAAAGTTACAATATTATCCAAATTACAACAACCACAGACTATAGATTCAAGATGCAGAGAAATAAATTTCAGCTTGCTCAAAGGAAAAGCTAAATGATGTTTGGAGTTATTCCAAAGTGGGATGAGTTTCTTCAGCAGGCATTGGCTTTCCCCTTACTAGAAAAGACTGGATGACCATTTGTTGGGTAGCCAACATTCTTGGCTAGGTGTGGGTTGGAACAGATGGATCCTGAGGTCCCTTCCAACGCTGAAATTCTGTGATTCTATGATCCACAAAGCGTATGTATATAGAACAGACAAAGAATAGTCCCAAGGAAATATATAAATATACAAGCTATATACCTGGTACCACATGCCTCCTTGCATACAGCCAGCAGATTGCTGATCATAAGAATCTGTCATATATGACTCAAGATAAACTGAATTTTAAAAAGATGTAAATACTCCAATTTTCTTCTGGATTTTGAGTGTATCAGTCTAGACGTTCTTTCCAATGAGTAATCACAACCCACCCACACTTTTTCATCCTGTATGATTTAATTCATGTCCTCTCATCAGAAAGCCAATAAGATTAATTCCCATTTAAATTAAAAACAAAAAACAAAAGCCACATAGGAAATAAGTGGGAGAGCCAGAACTCAAACCTAGGTCTTCTGACTTCAAAACCATCTATTGCTGACCAACCCCTCCTTGATACTCTTTCCTTCCTTGGTTTTGATGATACAGTACTTCCCTAATTCTCTGACTTGCTCTGCTCCCTCTCAGACTCTTCTGTTGGTTTCTCTTCCTTTTCCTGACTGCTACATCTGGATGTCCCCTAAAGCTGTCTCAGAACACTCTTTTTTTTTTTTTTAAGCAACATTGGTCCCTTTATCTCTCTAATAATAACATAAAGTGACCTCCATTTCCTTTGCGCCCTCCTGGAATCCAACACAGTGTCTCTATGAAATGGCAAGGCTCTTAATAAATACTAGCTCATTCAATGAACAAATGCATGAGGCCTTGTTAAGGCTATGTTTTTGCTGCTGTTTAGTCATTTTCAGTTGTATCCAAGTCTTCGTGACCCCATTATTTTCTTGGCAAATATACTGGAGTGGTTTGCCATTTCCTTCTCCCCATCATTTTACAGATGAAGAAACTGAGGCAAATGGGGTTAAGTGACTTGCCCAGGGTCACACAGCTAGCAAGTGTCTGAGACCACATTTGAACTCAGGACGATTCATCTTTCTGACTCCAGTCCCTCCTATTTACACCTTGTCAACAACTCAAGGGAGAGTCTCTCACTGTTTCAAAGTGCTGACCTGCTCCTGGTGCCGACACTTGAGCCTCGTTAGCTGCATCCGGTGTTCCTCCTGTAAGCATTTCACTTCTCCCACATAGTGTTGCTGCAACCTTTCCTCCAAGTCCTGGAGTTCAGCCTGCTGCTGCCAACGGAGTCTCTTCACCTCATCCTCAAACCTTCTCTCCAGATCCTCTTTCTCTTTTTGTAATTTCTCACATTTTGCTGTATTAAAGGCTGTGGGGAAAGGACAACAGAATTTTTTTTGAATGAGAATAGAAAACTGTGAAATAGCTTTGTCCCAGCTGCATTTCCAGGATAAGTGAGACCATCATCATAGAGAGAGAGAGAGAGAGAGAGCATTACATACATATAAAATATACATACATACATATATACATACATACACATACATCCATATATATTATATATAGATATAAAAAGGAGATTTAGCTGGTCAGGTGAAGATGCCCAAAGAGGAAGATTTTGCCTGAAGGAAGAAAGCTCTCCTCAATCCCTCCTCACTTAAAAAGCCAAATGAAAAATGTTTCTCAGAAATGAATTCCAGAGTCCTTTTCAGGCAGCTAGGACCCAAGATGAATGAAGCAATCAATCAACAAATATTTATTAAGTGCCTACCATGTGCTAGGCATCTGTGCCAGGCACCAGGGCTACTAAGACAAAAATGATAATTCTGCCCTCAAGGAGTCAACATTTTATTGACATTTTCCTCCTTGCAACAGTTTCTCTCCCTATATTTTTCCTAGGGGATGCAGGATTGCTGGAGGTCCATTCCCTAATTCATGCTAAGTAAAATTTTTTTTAAATGAGGTGGAATAATGATCATAGAATCAAAGAATATACTAATTATCAATACCTTCTGTACTTCTGCCACCTTCTCTCTCGTCCCTAGCTTGCTATATTTTTGTTTCTTATTTCCCTGAAGTCTGGGGAAATAATTGAACCATTTCATCTTAAAAGTCTCTTACTTTAAGACCTGTTAGGATATAATGGTGAAAACAAGAACATGAACAAAGCACTTTACTTTGCATTCTGGTTATTATTATTTTTGACAAGACCTGGGATTCATCAGCGTAGAGAACTCCTAGTGAGCAGCATCCACTACCAGTGTAGATTGCCACCCCCTCTGCACCTTCCAATCCCAGTTGTCTGGGGGCATTGAGAGATGAAATGATTTGCCCTGGGGGACACGGCCCGTAGTTGTTGAGGGCAGAACTTGGGCCTGGGTCTTCCTGACAATGAAGCCTACTCTCCAACCACCATGCCACTCTGCCTCTTACTATAGCTCACATTTACATGGCCTTTGTGGCTTGCCAGGTGCCTTCCCCACCACAACGTTGTTGTTTATACCAGAGGTATCATACATGTAGCCCCAAGGTTGCATGGGGCCCACGAAACTCCCAAATGCACCAAACCAGATTAAAATGTAATTGGGAAATATTTTATAAAATAAAGAAAATAATTAAACAGGGGTAACGTTAATGTGTGGTTTTCTAAGTCAATATGCAGCTCACAGAGATCCTCATGTACCATTTAGTGGCCCCCATTTCTATTTTGGTTGATAGCACTGGTTTATACCACTTGGATTTTGGAGTGTTAACTACCCAAAGCATGTAGGCACAGAAGTACATCTGTGAATTCCTCTGTGTGTATACTTCAAGGATCTGCAGAGCACAGCACTGATGTCAGATTGCCAGCCCTGCATGCCTCAGCAGAGAGATTTGATGAGTAATTGTGACCAAAAAGTATCAATGCCTGACGGCCCGCTCTCTGGTGATAAGCCCTTCACGACTTAGCTAGGTTGGCCCTCGGATGGCATGCAGTCAGTTCATCGTTGGGCCTTTCCAGCTTGCTAAGGTAGTGTTCTGCTGCCAGGATAACCTTCTGTGGCACCTACTTCTACAGTACAGTCAATAAATTGAAGCATCTACTATGTACAAGGCACTATTTCTACATGCCAGGGGTACAAAGATTAAAATGAAACCATCCATCTCTGCCTCACAGGATCACAGGATCTGAGAGCTAGAAGCAACCACAGTGACCCTGAAGTCTAGCATAGAAGAGACGCCTATTATTATATACCTGGCTGTTTTCATCTATCCCTCATTAGAAGGTCTCTGATGAGAGAGAACCCACTCCCTCTCCAAGGCAACTTTTCGAAATCTCTAATGGTTAGAAAGATTTCCTGACATCAACCCTAAATTTTCCTTTTTGTACATTCTATCCATTGGTTATGGTTTTGCCTTCTGGGGTCAAACAAAACAGGAGAGAGAATTCCCTCAAGTATCTTATCTACTATTAGAAAAAGGCAATGGAGTAAGATTTTAATGGAGGATGTATCTCTCTATCTATTTTATGTTAGATAGTCTATCTTTGATGGCTAGATATTTGCATGTGGCCCATGAGGCTAGAAGAACAGCATGGGAGTCTAAGCCATGATATGACGCAGGACAAGACCTGGACTATTACTGTGAGTTATATGTATAGAGCAATTCCACTGGGGAGAGGATAGCCCATTGAGATACCCCCAAGTCCGTTTCCCTTTTGAGATGAGTCCATGAGATCAGAGAAGTGACCCAAGGCTGGATGCCTTTATGAGCAAATGGATTAGATTTACCAGACTACTAGGAGAGGGAGGGGTTGCCCTTCTGGCTAGCACACAAGTTTGTTTCCCTTCTAAGGCCAGTCTAAATCATGAAGTGCTGCTATGAAACTGGAGGGCTAGAGGGACTTGGGGAAAGTGTGAGATTCACTGGAGAAGGAGGTGAACAGCATTCACGGCTTGTGGGCTCCTGTGATTCTCCTCCTACATTTCCAATTGCTGTTATATATTAAAAAAGTGATGATTATCTTTCATTTGAGATGAGTTTGTGATGGGGTCACAGCCTACCAGACTGCAGAAGAGACTGGGTAATAAAAGCAATGTGGGGACAAAGGCTAGGGTCAGAGAAGGTATTCCTATAAAGATGTCCCCAAAGAAATAAATACTCTCTTGCCTCCAGTAAACTTTAAAAAATTCATCTACTGGGACATTTCTCCTACAGAGATTAATGAACATTAATTTAAGAGCATCAGGCAACAGGATTTTTACTTCTTTTTTATTCAGGTGAAAAATGGCTAGTGCTATTCCAGGTAAGTGTAAATTCTAGCAATAAAAATCATTCCCATAAGAAGCCAGGGAACTCTACGGGTTAGAGTAGATTTGGAGTGGGTAAGAGTATATAACTTTTGCCACACACACAATAACAGCTGGAAAAGCAAGAGTGGAATCAGGGTCTAAGTAGGGGTTCTCATCCAATATCAGACCAGGAAGGAATCTCAGCAATCACCTAGTCTAACCCCTTTATTAGAGTAGATAGCCAGAGAGGTTAATACCACACTGCCAGCTAGTTTTAAATAATGTGAGCCCATAACAAATAATGCATATACACTTAAAGAAGATATCAAAAGATATGGCTATTAAAGCTATGAAAAAAAATATATATATAATGTGAAAAAATGCTCTAAATCACTATTGATTAGAGAAATGCAAATCAAAACAACTCTGCGGGACCACCTCACACCTACCAGATCGGCCATTATGACAAAACAGGAAAATAATAAATGTTGGAGAAGATGTGGGAAAACTGGAACACCAATGTGGTGCTGGTGGAGTTGTGAACTGATCCAACCATTCTGGAGAGCAATTTGGAACTATGCCCAAAGGGCTAGAAAACTGTGCATACCCTTTGACCCAGCAATACCACTTCCTGGTCTATATTCCAAAGAGATCATTAAAACAGGAAAAGGCCCCACATGTACAAAAATATATCAGCTTTTTTTTTTTGTGGTGGCCAAAAACTGGAAATTAAGGGGATGCCCTTCAATTGGGGCATGGCTGAACAAGTTGTGGTATATAAATGTAACGGAATACTATTGTGCAATAAGAAATGATGAGCAGGCAGACATCAGAAAAACCTGGAAAGACTTGTATGGACTGATGCTGAGTGAAGTGAGCTTCAGAACCAGGAGAGCATTATATACAGTAACAGTCATGGTGTGCGATGACCCACTTTGATAGACTCAGCTTTTCTCAGCAATGAAAGGTCTAAGACAATTCCAAAAGACTCATGATGGAAAATGCTATCCACATCCAGAGAAAGAACTACAGAATGCAGATTAAAGCATACTATTTTCACTTTTTTTGTTTCTTCTTTCTCATGTTTTTTCCCTTTGGTTCTAATTCTTTTTACAACATGATTAATGTGGAAATATGTTTAATTTGATTGTACATGTACAGCCTATATCAGATTGTACGCCGTCTTGGGGACAAGGGAGCGGAGGGAGGAGAAGAAAATTTAGAACTCAAAATCTTACGGAAATGAATGTTGAAAACTAAAAACAAACAAATAAAATTTAAATAAAAAGAAGATATGCCTAGTATAGTATCTCACAGAGAGGAGGTGCTTAACAAGTGTTTGTTAAATGAATCAATGAAAATCACTGAACTCTCATTGTAACTGTTCATCAATTACCCTCACCTGGCAGGGTAGGTAGAGGCAGTAGCTAGCTGATAGGTGGTGCAGTGGATAGTGTTCTGGGCCTGGAGTCAGGAAGATCTGATTATACAAGCTGTAAGACCCTGGTCAAGTCACTTAACCTTCGTCCACCTCAGTTTCCTCAACTGTAAAATGGGCATGCTAATAGAATCTACCCCCCAGGGTTGTTGTGAGGATCAAATGAAATAATATTTATAATGTGTATTCAGTCATTTCAGTTCAGGTGTTCCTGACCTCGTTTTGGAGTTTTCTTGGCAAAGATACTGGGGTGGTTAGTAATTTTCTTCTTCATCGCATTTTACAGATGAAGAACTGAGACAAATAGGGTTAAGCGACTTGCCCAGGGTCACACAGCTAATGTCTACGGCTGGGTTTGAACTCAGGAAGATGAGTCTTCCTGGCTGCAGGCCCAGCACTTTATGCACTATGGCGCCACCTAGCTGCCCTTGTCTGGCCTTACTTCCCCCCTCTCCTTTTTTTTTTTTTTTCCCAGCCAAAGACAAGGTTTATTAAAGATTCACCATATTGGCCAGAATCTTAAGGAATCTGAACATTTGTGACCCTCGTATTGGGTAGATTTTAAGAATCTGAGCCATTACTTCCCCCTTTTTTAACGCTCTCATAGACAACCCGTAGGTTTTAGCCAAATTGTTCCCGATTCCAAGCCCAGTGCTCTAA